TTTATAATTTGGAGGAAGGAAGTAAATTTAATGCAGAATGTAAACATTTAACAATTTAAGCTTCTTCCTAAAATAATAGATTGACTTTTTAAGCCCACATTTCTTTCTGAGTAAAAGAAATAATTCTTGGAGGCCGAGGTCTTTGCCTGAGGTTGGGAGTTCGAGACCAGCCTGGCCAACATAGTGAAACCCCGTCTCTACTAACAATACAAAAAATTAGCTGGGTGTGGTGGCATGCACCTCTAATCCCAGCTACTCGGGAGGCTGAGGTGGGAGAATCGCTTGAAACCGGGAGGTGGAGGTTGCAGTGAGCTGAGATCGTGCCATCGCACTCCAGCCTGGGCTACAAGAGCGAAACTCCATCTCAAAAAAAAAAAAAAAAAAAAAAAGGAAATTATTTAGTTTTAAGTTTAAAATAATTGATAAATGAGATTATGTTTATTTGTTAATTTAAATGAAATAAAATACATGCTTCTGTAGTGGTTATATTATGGGAAAACTGTTCACAATATGCACAATTAATTATTTGAATTTCAGATGGTTCCCCTGTGGATGTCTTTACATGTGTATGCTTTAGAGCCAGAGGTAATTGATTCAATGTTGTCTTTTATTAGATATTTCCAGGCCAATATGCCACTGACCCTGTTATATATTCCTGATTCTCTCTCTAAGCCTTGGAAAGGTTTTGGACAAAATCACTAATATTCTAACTCTTCTGGTGGAATTTCAGTTTTCACAATTACTTCTTTCTGTCTTTTATTTTCTCTCCCCTCCCCCACTCCGTGTGTGTGTGCATGTGTATGTGTATAAATACACACATATGTATTTATTTTGCATTTACTTATAGTCACTGTATTTTAAGCTTGCATTCTCGTGGAAAGTCTATGTTATGAACTTAGCACTTATTCCTCAGAGGCGGTTTAGATAATGGAAAATTCATGAGCTGTGTAACCAGACAGATGGTGGCTTAAATTCTAGCTCCAGCACATTCAAACCGCATGTTCTTGGCAAGTTACTTCACCTCTCTGTGCCTTGGTTTACTGCCCTATAAAATGGGTCTAATTATTACTTATCTAATGGGATAGTTATGAGAATTCACTATATAATGAGAAGTATATATTTTTTACTAGGTGTTAAAAGCACCTAGTAAAATCTCTCCATCAGTAGACACTGCTGCTGCTTCTGTTTTTGCTAGAGGACTACAATGGGGATATGAAGCATGAGAATTCTAAAAACTAGGGAATGGGAATGTGGAAAGTAGACCTCTGAGAAATAAAGGGAAGAGAGTGAAAGTGAAAAGTTACTGAGGTAAATAAGGATTTTATCACTCAACTTTCTGTTGTACTGGTGAACCAGTAATTAAATTACCTTACATTTTCTAAATATTGCATGTACTTTCCTCACTGGATGGCAAAAGATGCAGTTTACTTAGGGTAATTTAAGTTGGTTATTACACTTTGATTCTCATCATGCTTTCTTTCACCCTGGTTTGTAGAATATTTGAGAAATCATCGATCGGGCTCCCTGTCTTCGCGAAGTTGAATGTCATTTCAACATATGGTCATGTCTTGTCTCCCAGAATGTTTTTGGGAATGGTGTTCGAGGTTTTGCTACATAACAAATCACCGTACAACTTAGTGGCTTAAAACCACCATCATTTATTTAGCCTGCAATTCTGTGAACCAGCAATTTGGACTGGGCTCAGATGGACTCTTCTTCTGCTGGTCTCAGCTGGGTTCACCTATGAGTCTGTGGTCAGGTGCTGGTCAGCCAGCTCTGCTTCTAGGGGATGAGTGGCGATCAGCTAGGGTGATAGAGAAAGGGAATGGTGGGGAATATGGACCTTGGGGTTCACTCATTACCCAGAGACTAGTCCTGTCTTGTTCAGATGGCAGCTCAAGTTGCCAAAGACTCTTGGGGCCCAGTTTCAGAACTTGGACAATTACACTTCCACTTCATTGTGTTGGCCAAAGCAACTCGAAACGCCATTGCAGAATCAAAGAGCAGAGAAACAGACATCACCTCTTCCTGGGAGGGCCTGCCAAGCATTGAGGCCGTTTTCACAATCCTCCTTAGGTGGGGTCTCTACAGTCCTCATTAACAAGTCAATTCTGGTCTCTTGGAGTCAATAGGTTCCTTCTCAGATGTGAGACAGACGTACACACATACTGTAGTAACTTCTGCTTTCATGTTAGTCTCTTAAAAAATGACTTGGCATTTTGGAGACTGAAAAGAAGTACTTAAGTTTTTACATCCCTTATGTTGCAGACAGATTGCAAGTGTGTGAAGTGTTGGCACCAGAGGATTGACCCTGACCACACTGGGCCTTCCTTGGATTTAATCCTGACCAGATCCACTCACCCGTGTCTAAGCAGTGGTCAGGCAGAATGAGGAAGTGTCAGCTGGTGACCTCACTAGAGGCTCTTCAGGTGGCCCTGGATCCAGAGCAGCTTATTGATTGTCTTTGATGCAGAAAGTGAGACATAGGAGAAAGGGCCGCCCCTTAACTCACTGGATTTCTTGAAACATTTAAACATTGCATTGTACCAAATGCCAAGCAGATAAGTGAGTTCCTCAAATGCAGCTTTTTAAAACTCTTGTCACCCATCAGATGATCTCAAGCTGTTTGGCTTGTTTGAAGCAGCCAAGGATTTCTTTTCTTTCTTTCTTTCTTCTTTTTTAAACAGGCAGGGTCTCACTCTGTTGCCCAGGCTGGTCTTGAACTCCTGAGCTAAATCGATCCTCCTGCCTTGCCTCCCAGAGTATTGGGATACAGGTGTGAACCACTGTCCCTGGCCAAAGTTTTATTTTCTGATCATTGTGGGGAAAAGTAAATTCCAAGATTTTTCCCAAGACAGTAGACTTAGGATCTTAGTGGTTTGTCTCCAAGTCACAAACTTAAGGGGTTCTTTTTTTACGTGAATTTTACCTGAGTTCTCACTTGTGTTGGGCCATCACGTTTGTTATGCATAGCCTTGGGCTTGTGTGCCTTGGGTAATGTGAACTGTTTGAATTGACTTCTGGCCTGTAAACTCTACTCTCTTCCCACTGAGGACTGACCCCAGGGAACTGCATGAGTCAGGGAGCTGCGTGTTTCCCTTGGTGACCATGGAAATTAGGAACAGTGATGACCTGGATTTAGGGGAAAACTGGAAAGTGACTGATTCAGTTGAACAGCTCCTGGGGCTTCAGTGGGCCAGGCCTGGGACAGAACACGCCAGACACAATGTTCCTGCCTTCTGGGAGGAGGTCCTATATTGTAGCCATTGTTCCCTTGGGATCAAACAGCCTTCCACCCTGTGATACAGCAAAAATTAGTAAGAACGCATCTGAAGTGTTTTTGCTTATTGATGAATTAATACCTTGGCAGAGGAAAGAGATAAATGTCATTGCATTTACCACTCTTCTTATACACCTGGCTTTCTTACAGGTGCGTTCTTTGAAGAAAACTTGTGAAACCTGTAAATTGAATGGAAGGAGTAGGAATTATTTGGGTTATTACAATATTCTTCGCTTTCTAAAAATGAAGAAAAATTATCCATCTTCTCAAGTTTAAGAGTTCTATACTAGTTGAGGGGCTGGGCCTAGTTGCTGAGGTTGGAGTTACTGTATTTTTTTCTGATGCGAAGTAGTCTGGGCCCAGTGGAGATTCCAGGGTGAAGGAGAACTTGGGATTGTATAATTAGGCATCCCTGTGGACAGTCAGGATGCTGTACAGATGGTGGGGAAAGCAATGAGGTTGTGACATTAATGGATTTCCCAAGTGTTTATTTGGCTTCTGTTATGTCTAGGCATTGTAGATTCCTGTAGTCACATCCTTGAAGAGAGAGAAATAAGTTAAAAAAAAAAAATGCAAAAAGTAAGTGGTAAATGTGTTAAGAGAAGGAAATCTTTGGGTGCATTTTGGGTGCCTAGTGACATGACTTCCTGGGTGAGTGGAAGAAGGCTAGTTTGTGGAAGTAGCAGTTTTCCAGTGGAGAAGGGAGGGAAGTGGAATTCCAGGCTGTAGGAACCTGTGTTCAAGACGGGGAGGAGTGAAGAGCACTGTGTGTTCAGGGAACTCCATGTCATCGTTACATCTGACTAGACCAGAGCGGGAACCGAGTGGAGAGGCAGAAGAAGAAAAGACAAAACATTTTATGAATTTTAATATTCACTGGGGGGTGGGGGGCATTGGATTAAATCCACACACACACTGCTTTTTAAAAAGGCCTCTGTTTGACAAAATGAAATGCTGTTCAGCTCTAAAAGTAGCTCTTCACTACTGGGTTAATTGAATTTGGCTACTTTCCTCTAAGTGACAAATCGCTTTTTCTAGAAAAAGGTGAACAGATTCACCTAGCTCAGTGCGGAATGTTGTTTCACCTGTCTGAATGGTCTCTTTTAGGTGGGGCCTTATGCTGTAGGCTAGCAATCGCAAATCTTTGCCCAACTCGAAGAATTCAGAACCTGGATTGTGAAATACAAGTAAAAGTAAAATAACTATCATTGTTATTTTCTACTGTTTCAATATGGCTCATCTGGGCTGTGGCTTCTCGAGAAATATTTGGCACGAAAGGACAAATATTTACAGGACCCGAAAGATGGAAGGTAGAGAGTGCAATGGCAGTTTGAGAGCAGCTCAGGTGGGCTTCGGAGCTTTTGTGAATAAGAGAGAGCTCAGGTTTGATTTAGCGGAAATTGATTTCAAAATTAATTCTATTACTGGAAACTTGCACTGGGGGGGGAAACCTGGGTATTACTGTCCACTGCTAACACTGCGAAACAATTTTCTTCTGGCAGGAGTGGTAGTTGGAATTTAAACCAGACACTGACCTGAGATGCTCTCTAAAGTAAATTGACTAAACACTTATTTGCAAATGCTCTATAATGAAAATGTCCAATTAGACTGAAATTGTATTCTACTCCTTATAGCTTATTCATCTCACTTGGTGAGTGCTTTTTAATTTTATATCCACTTATAAGTGGGAAACAACTGTTTATAAATAATTAGAAGGCCTTTGGGTCTTCTCTGATTCAAAGTCTTACATTCCTGAGGCAAACTGATGGTTCTGTCTTGCCACCAAATACCTGGTGCCTGGTAACACAAGCGGCAGCAAAATCTGAGACCTCAAATCAAGTGCCTTAGCTAGTGTTTTAAACATCAAAGTATGAGTGATTTCAATTGGATTGAAAAGTACCCAGTGAGAGAAATTTTACTTGCATCAAGGAAGACTAGGATTTGAATGTGTCCAATGACTGTCCCCATATATCCTGGGGGAAGTTATTTAACCCATTAATGCCTTAAGTTGCAATTTTTTGAATTTTTGCATGAATGAAAAATCAGACCTTGGCGATGACCTTGAGTGGTAGGATATAAATAACTCCCACATGCTTAGCGTTCCAATAATGGAACACTAGGCATATTAATCTTTCCAAGCTTCAGTTTCTGCCTTTATAAAAAGGAGATGACAGTGCTCAGATCTGCCTCTTTGAGGTGGGTTTTAATTTTATTGGTAATATTTCAGTTCTTTTTCAAAAATTTGAGGCCAAGATCGCAGATTTACATTTGAAGAGTGTAGGTGGTGGATTTCAGGGGTACCTGTTAAATTATTTTCTGAGTTATGTTTGTTTCAGATTGTTTTCCAATTAGACCAAAAATTTAATCACAAATTAGAAGTGAAAATGCCAAGTGCCCTCACACCTATTTCTAGACTCCATGAGTATTTTTGAACCGGACGCGTATGTTTGGCTTGTGGGGATTAAGGCGAGAGCAGTGAGGTGGCAGTGCTGAAGAACTAATCATAAGACTACCATCTTCACCCTCCCCCATTCTGTGGTGCTTCCCAGACCAGGATGCGACCAGCTGCAATCCACCCGGGCTTTGCTGCTTGCTCCAGAAACTGTCTGTGAACACGTGCTTTTTCTATACCTGTTGAATGGGTTCTTACTGTACTCATTGAAGATGGAAATAAATGGGCAAGGATTTCTGATGGAATAGTAGTGTATCTGTAACCACTTACAAAAGGTCAGCCTGGTGAGAATTAGGGGTCATGAGAGGGATTGGTTTATCATGATCATTCATTGTTTACTTCTAAATGTAGGTTAACGTGGTCGAAGAATGGTGTCTCTACCAGTGGCTCTGTCCGGGGAACTTTAGAGTTTTATGTTAAATAAGAACCCAGACTCTGGCAGTTATAGGGCCTGGTTTCTTGGATCTGGGTTTTCAATCACTGGGAGTCTGGAGTGACTAATTACCCTAGCGCTTAGGCAACATTATAGTCTTCTTTCTATTCGTTTATAGGTTGGGCAGTTGTTCCGGCTTCTCTGGGACTGAGAGGTATCCCAGGATGTGGAACTTTACAACCAGAAAAGTCTGAGGCAACTGGGGCAGCTGGTCTTCCTACTTTCTAGCCTCCATGCCTTCCTCTTCTCCTCTTGCCTGCCTCCTCTCTCATGACCAGACAATTCCATGAGCATTCCAAACTCTTTAGGCTGCTGTTACAGATAAACTTTACATGTGGTGCACCTGGGGAGTTTGGCAACACAAAGTGATTCATTTTAAAAAGTAGGAGTGCTCTTAGGGTAGTTTGGATGCAAGCATGACCTGCCTTTATAGAGGTTACATGTGCGCTGCCTGCAGTGCTCCTGATGATTTCTTTGCGGTTCTTTCCTTTTTGCTGAAAGTGTTCTGAAAATAGAGAGCCGCGGCCATTATAGTTAGAACAGGGAGCAAACAGACACCTCTGAGATGATCCCTAGCCCCCTGCGCCCTGTCTGGGTCCACCCCTACTTCTAGGTAGCTATCTGCTGTCACCACCTGCAAGAGCAGGAGTGTTTGTAAGTTGTGGATTATGTCCCCAGGATTACTAGTTTTTCTTTTTCAGGAAAAATAATACACAATTCAAGCCAAAATGTAAACAAGCACTAAGATCCTACACTTTTGTTCCCGGTAATCATTAAATGCTGTGGGTCATTTCACAATTTCAGTTGTCATTTCAGTTATCCCTCACACGTAGACAGGACAGGTCCAACCTGTATCTCAAGGTCAAAGGGCTGGACTCTACTTATGTGTGTGGAGCTTCGGAATACCAGGCAGAAACCCATGCAGAGAGGTTGCCTCTCAAGATTTTGATCTTGTCTCCTCCGTGAAGAATGACACGAAGAATTTCTCTTTCCTTATGATTCATCAGGAGAGTGCCATTTATTCTTCCAGGTTTCCAGCTCACACACCCCTGCTACTTTTTCCTCCTGGAGAGGTTACAGGACCTTGTGATCTTACTGGGCTGTGTGAAAACCCCATGATGATGCCTTTCCCTTCTGCGGGTCTCTGACCGTCTGTTGTAAGTGCTCTTTTTTCTCTTGGTTATCTAGCTGCCAGCTGTTTACAAACTAGTTTGCATCAAGTGGTTGCCTAGAAACCATTATGAAAACAGGATTAGGCAAAGCATTTTTTCTATATTACAGCTGCTTTCTGATGAAGGCTTGGCATTAGAAAGAGCTCAGTGTGTACCCCTTCCCAGCCTTAAAACACAATGCAAGTGAAACAAGGACTTTCCAACAGAGATGACTTGATTTCTCTATAGTCACATTTCGAGACAGTCATCACCCACCCAACTGTCCCCTCCTCTGCAAACCCACATACCCTTCCCTTTCAGGAGAGCCATGTGTGGGGGATGGTTGACCCTTTTTAAAGAACATTTAACATAAACCAACAGCAGGTCTCAGATACTGCTATTTACCCATCCATTCTTCGGGCCTTAGCTAGACTGGAGTGGGTGCAGAGAAGTTAGAAGGCTCTGGCAGTAATTTGGTCGTAAAGAAGGAATGTGTTATGTGGAGTAGCAGTTAATCAACTAAGCGGTAAGCAGGTTTTCAGTGAAACACCACTGGGAGCTAATCCCACTTAACATCAACTACAGTGACTTAGAGGGAACAAGCTCTCTAACTCTGAGCTCTCTTCTTTCCCAGGAAATAAATCAGGATGAAGTCAAGAGACATCAAGGAGTTTACATTAAAAGGTCTTAGTAAGTGATTGAAATATTCTTAAACTGGCTGGGCGCAGCGGCTCATACCTGTAATCCCAGTACTTTGGAAGGCTGAGGCAGGCAGATCACTTGAGGTCAGGAGTTCGAGACCAGCCTGGCCAACATGGTGAAACCGTGTCTCTTCTAAAAATACAAAAATTAGCCAGGCGTGGTGGCAGGCATCTGTAATCCCAGCTGAGGCAGGCGGATCGCTGGAACCCTGGAGGCGGAGGTTGTAGTAAGCCAAGATCACACCACTGCACTCCAGCCTGGTTGACAGAGTGAGAGAGTGAGACCCTATCTGAAAAAGAAAGAAAGAAAGAAAGAAAGAAAGATTCTTAAACTCCTCCTGGAATAGGATAGATAGGTAAATAAGTGATTATGTCTGGATTTGGGGTCACAGGAGAAAGAGGAATCAGGAAAAACTTAGTAAGTCAGCAAATACTGAGCACTTGCAGATATGGTAGAGTGGGGTGGGGTAGTAGGGTGTCAGTCAAACACTGAGCAAGACGGACAGTCCCTGTATATTCTAGTGCAAAGGTGGGGAAGCAGGGGCCACATGATAAAAACTGGAACAGATAAATTGGTAAGCTAATTTCAGATACTGGCAAATGCAGTGAAGATGACAAAATGGGACCTGTGGCTCCTGTAGGGGACACGGACACTGCTTTTCTAAGGTGACATTTGAGTTGAAAGACTAAGAGCCTGAGGGCTGGGTGGGGATATCCTCTCAGCCGTGGGGAGGATGGGAAGGAGGCTGAGTATATGGAAGAGATAGTTAATAGAAATCAAACACAACGAGAACCTTCAATGTTAGATGACAAATCAGGTCCATACTAGGAAGATCTTTTCCAGGTTTCCCAGAAAAGTAAATCAAACCTCACCAGGCCTCCAGATGGTTTTAATTACCTTTTCGTAGGGCTGCCGAACAGGGTATTAGTCATAGACTTGACAATAAGGACTCGTGGGTTTTTTTCAGAGATATTAATGGATGGGAGTAATTTTGCATTTGAAACTTTATTTTTAAACTACGAAAATAACATATTACCGAAGTTAGAGAAATCAGAAAAATCTCTTATGTTCCCACTATCCTAACAGCCCTGTTATCTATTTTGTATATTTCTTTTTCTTTCTTTTTTTTTTTTTTTTTGAGGACTAGGTCTCGCTCTGTCACCCAGGTTGTAGTGCAGTGGCGTGATCCTGACTCACTAGAGCCTCCACCTCCTGGGCTTAAGGGATCCTCCCACCTCAGCCTCCTAAGTAGCTGGGACTGCAGCTGTGCACCACCACACTCAGCTAATTAAAACATTTGTTTTTGTTAGAGACAGTGGCTCCCTATGTTGCCTAGACTGGTCTCGAATTCCTGGGTTCAAGCAGTCCTTGGGCCTCACCTCCCAGAGTGCTGGGATTACAGGCATGAGCCACCACGTCTGGCCTGTTTTGTGTATTTCTTACAGTCTTTTTCATGTATATGATTTTGGATAGTTAATATATTGCCCTTTGAATGCATGACAGGCATTTCCCCAATACTTCCTTAAGCTTATATACCATACTTATACATTTTAGTAAGTACAATCAATTCTTGTTATTTGCAGTGGTTAGGGTCTGTTAAGTCACTGTGAACACTGAACTAGCAAATACTAAACCATTGCTGCTAAGGGAAATAGAGGATTAGGTTCCTGCGGTGTCTGATTACATTTTTATCACTAACCAGTATATAATCTTGTTTTATGTGTGCTTCTGTTTAAGGACACCATACTTGATGTATTAGTATATTGTTGGTTTATTAACATTGAACTACGGCCAAGAGTGCTATCACCCATACCTGAACAAAGCTTATCGAACACGTGGATTTTTTTCTGTGAGGCACATCACAGCCGTCTTGTACTTAGGACACTAGAGAGCACTTAGCACTGTGCTTGGGAGGTTTTAGACAGCAACGTCACCAACAAAAAGCACAAAGATGTGAAAAACAACATGGCACTAAATAGACCATGAAAAGGACCCTGCGTAACAGCCTGAGAGCTAGATCAAGAAGGCAGAGCATGCCCTGCTTCAACCTTAGCTGGGCATGTGCATGTCAGTGACCCAAATTTTTTGCCACACTATGTGGATTCTCAAATGACCATGAAAGTGCCACATGTATTGATTTTTGAGGTTACAAATCAATTTTATCAATTAGACACAATTCATAAATATGCAATCTGTGAATAATGAGGATCAGTGTATTATTCTTCAGACTGTACCATGTTTGTACCATGAAACTAGGGATCCTGAAACTAGGGAGAACCTCCCCAAGCCTTTGAATTACTAGAGTGGAGAAATAAAAAGGTTCCTTTCTCCTGATAATTTTGTAATTAAATGAGAATATGTGAGTCCTTTATAAAGTGTGTTTTGAGATCTAGATTACACCTTACAATGACACGGTTTCTGACATGTCCTTGTTTGTTTGTTTGTTTTGCCATGAAACTGAATGATAAATGGCTCACCTTCAGATGCGTACACAGACACACTGCTATTCTGGTGTTTGTGGAGCCTTCGTAATACCTCCTCACTCCCCACCCCAAACAAACCAAATTCCTGAAGAAAGCACTACTACGGAGTAGCTCAGAAGCATGGGGTAGGGGAGAAACAGCCCTCTGTGTCTCAGAAGGGAGCGGTGGTGATAATATCACCTTACATTTACGAGGGGCTTTAGCATTTGTGAGCTTCTTTGATGTGGTCCAGTTTCCCCAGAAAAAGACATAAATGTGAACTGATGGTAATCATATCTGACCTTACCTGAAATGACTATCAGACATTTTGCCCTCCGGAGAAATCCAGGGTGTGAGTCTTGATCCTTTCTTTAACCAGCGCCTGTTTGGTGAGAATAGCTATCCCATTGGAAAACACAGTACCCCTCATATGACCCACAATTCCATGACAAAACCACTCACATTTTCACCATCAAAGATCAAGAAGCATATGGTGTAGTGGAAAGAGTGTGGCTTTTGCAGTCAGAGGAACTGATTTTGATTTCCTAGTTCTACCCCTTCCTTAGCTGTGCAACTTTGGGCAAGTTGTAAAGCCTCTCTGAGCTTGCATTTTCTCGTTGGGCTAATGGGATAATAATGACCCCACTCATGTGTCTGTTGTGAAGATTAAATAAAATAATATACTTAGCCACTTTCCTTATTATACTTCTGATAGTACCTCTCTTGACAAGGAGCTTATCAATAGATCCTTAGAGAAAATCAGTGAGTCATCTTAACGGTGACCTTTGTTTCCCACCAACTCGACCTGAAGTTGATCATTCTCAATAACACCATTATCAAATAACCAGTGTGGACTGGGTTTTGCATCCATGAGTGTCTAAGCAAATGTCACTATTTAATTTTATTCTTCCAAAACATGTTATTTTTTCCCTGGTGTGAGAAACACAAATGTTCCAAAGTAAACATTCATGAAATACCCCTTAGATTTTTTTTTCTAATCTTGATTGGGGTGTTGACAAGGTTTATGTCTGTGTTAGCTGTTGAATAAAGCCATAGAAGAGACTTGCTGAATATAACAGACCCAGGTCAAAGGGGTGTGGGAAGAAGAGGCTACTGTAACACTGGTGCCTATTTAATCCATGGGAAAAGCGAAATATAAGGAAGTAACTTGCACAGAAGGATCTTGAAACCAGGGAAAGCCTCCCCAAGCCTTCGAATTACTGAAGAAACAAAAAGATTCCCTCTCTCCTGATAATTTTGCAATTAAATGAGAATATGTGAGCCCTTTATAAAGTGTGTTTTGAGATTAGCTTCCACTTTACAATGACATCGTTTCTGACCTGTCCTTTTTTAAACATCTGTGGGAAGCTAGCAAGTGAATCCCAACTGCTGGATTGCCCATCACGGGTCAGTATCAGCCTCACTGTGGCAGAGATGATAGGGTCAGCAGTCTGAATGCTGAACTCCAGGTCCAAGTGGCTATTTCCTTTTGCACTTTGATAGCTGGCATTTGCCTAAGAAAAAATGATACTTCTTTGGGCTGACTTGGCCTTTGAGATTGCCCTGAGACCAGTGATCTCTGTACCCTGATGTGAGGTATAGACTTATTTCTCAACTAGGAAGAGGTACACCTTCATGTAAACATGTTTGGAACTTTGCTCCATTCTTGTGTGAATGTCCTGTATATTTCTGTTGACTCCTGTGGTGTAAGTTGGTAACAGACAGCCATCCTTAAGCCTGGGATCGTCACAAAACTGATGATCCCGCTGGTTTTCATCGTCATCACTAAAACTCATTTGAATGGCCAGTTGTTCATTATGTTGTGCAGGTCACAGAACAAGGACAATAAAATGCATCTGATATACGTTCTTGGAGTTTGCAGTCTATAACATAACTGGATAGGAGTGGTCAATTCGTTTTCATGAGGCTATTCTTTAGTTATGTACTCATGCTGTGGATTCAGTAGGAAAATTGAAACTAGAGAAGTCTTGTGGTGAGCCCAGCACACTTTTGAATAGCCAGGACGATCCTCTTAAATGTTAATATTTACCTTGGCCCAGGTAAATCAGTGTCCTGTTTCCTTCTGTTAACTTGCAGTGGATATCTGCAAGTAAGTAAACAGTCTAATAGTGAGAAATTTAGTAGGGACATGGAACTGAGACACCAAAATTCCAATACATTTGTTTTATTCCAACTTTGT